TTTTGTTACGAGAAACATATCTGCAGAAAGAGGAAGGGAGACAGAGAATTAGAAAAGGTCAAGGGACAGATTTTTAGTCCTTATCACTTTTAGAATGAAGGTGTAAACAACACAAAGCATCATTTCTCTGACTGGAAAAAAATGGAATTACTGGTTTTGTGTATTAGAGATCAGAGATAAGCATCAGTCTTTCGCACAAAGATCCATTTTGCCTCAGCAAGCATAAATGTACAAATATGAGTTACCCCAATTTCATTTCAGTCATGCTGACTCATTAAGTTCGTTATAGCATCTGAAAAGAAACAACAGAAGATGCCACCATGCTATGTTGCAACATTTCACAGCAGTATGCCGTGTTATTGGGGCTTTGACTGACAATCGGTTTGTTCTTTCATCTTCCTTTCCTCTTTCAGCTTTTTCTTAATGCTCCAAGTCAAGCTCGGTTCTCAGCCTCACTGTTTACATAAGCAGGAAGCTGCTTCAGAACACCTTTTGTTGTTAGTACATGTGTCAAGAAGAAGGCTTCACACGAGGCAAGTCTCCTTCTCCAGTCTGTCACTGCACTTCCATATTCTGTCTCATCTTGAGCTGGGCGATACTCACAGATGTGGGGAACATTTCTGTAGGCTCCCTTACTGAACCTCCTCACCACTTCAGCTGCCTTCCAGCCACAAATTCAGACCCTTGGTTCCACTGCCTTTAACAGTGAACAGTGAAAAAATGAAGCCAATGCAAAGCCCAGAAACCTATGATGTCTTAACTGGCTACTTGAGACTGTCTCGTGTTAGTTTGCATAGCCTTATAGTAGAAATGAACATACCTACACCCTGAAATGTAAAGGAGTTTTGGTCTCTATAGATAAGCATAGCAACTACAGGAGTTCATTTTTATTTTTATTTTTATTTACACATAATTAACACTTAATATTAGTTGTTTTTAAATAATGTTATTGCTTTGATGGATGGCAAGACAATTGTGTATACCTGTGACTGGTCAGCTCGACTTCACCTTTGCTTATTTAAGTCACTGAACGGGGCCTCATGTTGGTTCTGGAGCATATATTTACCTGATAAATAATATGGCTTCCACTGTGGTTAAACAGCAAGTTTAAAAAGTCGGTGTTCCAATTTCAGCAGCACTTATTTAGGATGTGTGATTTCCCCCGTAATGTCCATTAATGTAGTTAAACAAGCTTGCTAGATAGCACTAGTTGCACTCCAATTTCTCATCTACATATGGTCAGCTCTCAGGTCAGTGGGGAGCCCCTGAGGACTGACAAACTTTATACTACAGCAGTGGCAATATGCAAAGTTTGTAGTATAGGCAGCAATCGAGAGCTGAACTTGCTATGGAAAGTTAACTTGCTTCTGGGAGTTAACAAAGAACTAAGAAACAAGAGAAAGAGGAGGAAAAAGTAAGGTCATGACGATTGAAGCAGGTAATAAAAATCAAATATAAATATCTAAATCAATTTGAGCTGTAAGGGGAAGAGATGCTTGAATAACACAACTTCCACTAGCATCACATGATTTCTTTTGTTTACTTTGATGATAGCATTAAGCAGTGCAGCCTAGAACATAGAAGCTAGTAGTTCCAGTATTACCACTTCATAGCCAGTCAGCTTGTTATGTATACAACACAATAAATAGACTAGTATTTATATAGGGGTTTTCTACTTTTACTTACACACTCAAGGTGGTTTAAGACTATAAGGGGAATTCCCCCACTAAAAACTCAGATAAACACGTAGAAATGCATTTGGATACACCGGTAGCAATATTTTACCAATGAAATTTCAAGTTTTTCATATTTCACTCACATCAAAATACTCCTGTATACATTTAAGGCTATTCATCATCTCTCCCCTCCATATCTCTCTGATCGGGTTCAGATCACCATCCCATCTCGGTGTCTCAGATCTTCTCTCTCTCTCCCCGTCCTGCCACCATGGGGAGCAGGGCATTCAGCTGCTCTGCTCCTCGACTCTGGAATTCCCACCCTCCTGATTTAAGAAATATCACTCCCTTCTCTCTCTTTAAGTCCCAACTCAAAACTCACTTGTTCGAAATAGCTTATCCCACATAACCTCTCCACTCTGCTATTTTAAATTTGTTTTATGTCTTGTGCTTTTACGATTGTGTAAACTGCTTGCTTTAATGTTGCTTTTATTATTCTGCTGTGTACAGTGTCCTTGAGTGTTTTGAAAGTATTATTATTATTATTATTATTATTATTATTATCATTATTATTATCAAAATACCTCATGAAACAGATCTCAGATGAAAATCACTGAGTCATATTAAAAGAGTAAGTAATGAATACTCATGGAGACAATGTGATGTACTCATTTTGTTATTTATTTATTACCTAAAAAAAGAAAATGTTCTATCACAAGTCACACTGAAATGTATTGCTTAAGAAAAAAAAATATATTCATATATTTTTTTCGCTTTTTCCATTTTTTTTCTTTTTCAGAAACACATTCTGTTTCCATTATACTCCACCAGAAAAAAAAAAGTTTCCCTTTCTCGGACATGAACATCAGCTGCTTCCACGTCCCAACAACCTTTTCCACTGATTTTTTTTTGTTTTGTTGTTTTTTTGTCGTTTTTTTTGTTTGTTTGTTTTTAAAAATGCACAAAGAAATACATAATTCACAGTTACCATTTTGGTTTTATAAATTAATACAGTCACACATGTGCTACACCGGTCTAGAGCTAGAACATTGTAAATTGTATTCTTGAATCCTGTTATTTTCAATAGTTGGCTACAAGAAAGAACAGGCAACTTAAATGACGTGATCAGAATTCCACCAACATACTGTTTTTAATCCTCTCTGTAATGCTTTTGTCATCTTTTTTGTTTTGTTTCATCTTTGAGTTTTACACAGAAGTGAGGCACACACAGAGTATAGTTCATACATATACAAAAAAACCAAAAAAAAAAAAAATAAAATAAAAACAACCCAAAATGAACATTTGGGAGGGGCAGGGGTTTAATTGTCCTTTAAAAATGATGGATCCAAGGAAACAGGAAGTGCATGTAGTCTTGGAAGTCCTTATAGGACCTTTTATTTTGAATCTGGGCTGTTTCTTGTCATCTACGTTCTGTGCTGTAAACTTCCTCAGATAAAAGTTACACAGATTTATAGCTTTTTTGCAGCTTGTTGGCAGCTGGGGACTGGGTTAAGAGGGATGTGTGGTTTGAATAACAGAGACCAACAAGCATGGCAACAATGAAATGGGACAAAGACCATATCTGAGGAACAAAACCTACTTTTGAAAAGTATTTGATTCACTCAAACAAGCTTTAACCCAGAAAATCTACGACTCTCATTGCTGCAAAATACTGCAGTCATGTGTATCAACCAACAAAGTGGGGAAAAAAATGAATAACAAGCTCAAATCTGACACTGACACTGCAAGGGCAACATTTTAAGGCACAGAAGCCTTGACATAATAGAGACTCCACCAGCTAAAAGCACTAAACGACAGATGCCCAGTGTCCTCTGTGACAAAAACGGTGTCCAACATCGATATGCACAGAAAGTTTAAAAAACAAACAGGAAACATTCCCACCCCCATTTGTCCCCAAGTGTCTCATTTTTTTAGTGAAAGGTAAGGCCACTTAAAAAAAAAAAAAAATAAAATAGATGAGGTTCACCAAAAAGGTAATCTCTCACTGCAATCTCTGGGAGTGCAATCGTGGTTGGGCGGTCAATCAGACAGACAGACCAGACGCTTCTCTTGAGTAGGTTTGATAGACAGTACTGCAAATCCTCAGGTCTGTTGGTTCCCTGTGAGAATGCATCCACATGAGCCTCTGTTGGCATTCAGGCTGGGAGGAGGGGAGGCGGTTTAACAGTTTGCAGGCTGTTTGGGTCCTTGAAAGTCATTGGGGATAAGAACCAGCTTTTAAGGAGTTGAGAGAGAGAGTCAGTTGCTCTTTGCTCATCATCACATCCTCATCTTCACTGCGCGCAACAGAAATATTCAGTGCCGAGCAACAAAGCTTAGCCCACACTTAACTTCATCCGTTTTGGTTTTGCGTCGTAATACTTAAGCAGGACACGGTTGTTCTAACATTGAAACAAATTAAACGTTACAAAAGAACCTTGCCAACAAAAGCAGCATTGTTTATTTTCTTCACAAATTCATGCATGTTGTTAACCTTCATTTCCACAGCACCAGTTTCATTTTTTTCTTCCATCAATAGAAAAAAGATCAGCATAATTACACACTTCTGCATGCAAAGGAAAGTCACTTTTCCCTCCCGTGTTTGTTTTTTTTTTTTCCCCACATTTTAAGTCCCCATGTCTAGCAGCAAAACTGTGAAAGGCCTAACCTGATATGTCAATGAATGTACTGGTGGAGGCACTAGATAATGATGCCAGATAAAGACCCCATTTCGCCTCCCTCTTGGCCAGTAATAAAAAATAAAAAATAAAAAAAATAAAAAAATGGAGGCATCATTATGAGAACTTGTGATAACAGGTACACATCAATTGGGCATCAAACTGGGAGCCAATTTGCTTTTTCATACAGTCATGTTGCAAAGTAGTGGGCCATGTGCTCACGGCAGCTGAACTTCACAAATTTGAGAACGTATGGGGTCGTTTGAGAGAAGACAACTGGACAAAAACATAGGATATTCTAAAAATCAATTTACAACAAACTTACACACACACACGCCCTAACAAGCATTTGCCAATTGTCACATTTATGTACACAAACTCGAAATCCCTCAGTCTCTTCAGGTTTGTAACACATGAGGTTGGCTGCATGAAAAATGATCTTTCTGTAACTTTTGTTGTGGCCAGACAAAAAAAAAAGAAAAGAAAAGAAAAGAAAAGGCATGAATGAGCTAATGAATGATTGAATGGATGCACATATTTGTTGGTAGTCAACGATCTGACTAAAGCCACAAAGGGCTGCTGTTTTTTGAAAACAGCAGATAGGAAGAGAAATAAAAATAGATTTTTTTTCATATACATTTTAAAGATTTTAAAATCCTCTAAAGCACTTTCTGTTAATATTCATTTATTTTGTGTATTCATTAATCATTCCTATCAATACCCTATGTCACTGAGGTTGATATCAATACTTCCATATTTATTATTTATTCTATTTCAGGCCCCACCTCCTCCTCGCACATTTTGACCAGCTGTTATAAATCAAGAATATGTGCAAACTACTTTGAACTGTTATATGAAAACCTGAATGCTTTGTGAACAATGCTACATATTTTTTTGTTTATAAAATATAATAATATGCTTAAAAGTGGAAAAAGAAAAGGTTTAACCACCCCGTAACAGGTAAAAACTGGACTCTTGTTGATGAGTTTTGAGATCAATTAGAATGCCCACTGAAATAATCCATAGTCCGGCAGTTCTGCCCTTCTTCTGATTAGGAAACACTGAAGCCTCTGGTGCTCCTGTCCTGTTATGTCCAGTGTGGATCTCTTCATTTCTCCCCAGAGTGCATTTAAAAAGAAAAAAACAAAAACAAAAATTCTGAAAATACCACCACCACCACCACCACCACCCACTGAATTCTGCTATACTCAAGTACAGGTATGGTCTCTGTAATCAAACCCCCCAAAAAAGGTCTTGCACACTGTTAAGTCCAGTAGTTGCCTGTCCAAATCCAAGCATCACAAGAAAGTTCTTTTGCTAATGTTGCTGTATTATTATTTTTTTTCACAAGGTCACCCACAAAGGGCAGAATGAGATTAGAGTCTGCAGAGAGCCTGTTTTCATGTGACAGATGACTGTCGCAAGGACAACTGTGATTTCCTCTCTGAAGTTACATGTCATCTCCTGCAAATCCGCTCCCTCAAAATTATCTCTAAGGAAATCCCAAGCAATGCTTTGCACATCTTTGAATGCGTATGTGGGAGCAGATGGTTCAGGCCATGACGAACTCGGACTTCAAGTCAGCCTTTACATCGGGCTTCCACACTGAATCGTCAAAGTCCAGGTCCAGGGAGCCCTCGCTGGACATGCTGCTGTTGCTATTGCTGCGTCCCGCCTTGCGGTTGGGCAGCCACTGATAAGGAGCCCGTTGGTCCCGCCTGGCCTTCCTGCGCAGACGCTTCTGCTGCATCAAGAGCTGCAGACGTTCCACCTTACACCTGGTTGCGCGGTTCTCTGTCTGACGTATACGATCACCTGGACACAGGAGAGAAGAGTAGAAAGACAGTCAGGTATTTTTCTTTACATAGCAAATGTTTTTTTTTTTTTGTTTTTTTTTAATTGTCTTTTCTCTTAACAGCTCTGGAGGAATGGGGGGGGGTGTTAATATGTGTGCCTGTGTAGCTGATGATAATGCTAAAACATGCTAGGCTCTTAACCTTGGCTCACAAATGCACACAAACACACATCCACCATTCACACAATGTAACATTGGAATCTGGTGGTTAACCTCCCCCACAGAGTATAATTAGCCTCCACAGTGCTATTTCATCCCCTTATCAGTGAATGGGGGAGACCTTCTCAAGGCTGAAATACCTACTAGGGTCAAAAAAGATGCAAACCCCTGACAGACATGATACTTTCTGATAGCTGCCTATGATATTTACAAACGTAATTACCCATGGCATGCTTCAGTGACTGGATTTGCTCCTAAGTGCATTTCTAGCTGTTGATGTGCCTATAGGAGAATCTAGTCTCAAGGGAGCGGCCTTGCATTGCACCGTGAATGCTTTCCTACACCAGCCAAGTCGAGTCTAATTCCATTTATACGTATATTCAGGGCCTCAGAAGGAGGGGAAAGCAACCGCAATCTATTAGCTAGCTCCATTAGTATCTGTCTGGGAATTAAATAATTAAATAATGGGCTAGAATGTCAATAAACCGAAGCACAGTGGCCATCCCTGCGCCTGCTGCATGCACCGCAACACACACACACACACACACACGTTCACATCCGTATTTGGGTACATCATGTATTCACACAAAAATAGATACACAATGTGCACACCCGTGCACTGAACTACACACAGCTGCACACAGTCACAGGTGCACAGACAGACACACACACACACCCCAACAGCCGCAGTAGCTTTTAACGTGGATCGATGGCAAATTAAAAAGACCTATTGATTAAACCTTAGCTCTAGTGCAGCCATCCATCTCGGGTCCAGGACAACGCTATTGGCTTTCAATAGAAAATGCAAGCGAATGGAAATTGTAAGCAGGGAGAGAGACGAGAGGAAAGCAAAGATTGTTTTTTTTCTTCCCCCCCCCCTTCCATTTTTTCTTTATTATGGCTTTAGCTTCCTACTCTCCACTCATTGACCTTACCCCCCCTACTCCATCTATTCTACCCCTTCACCCTTTACACACAAGCACACAGAAAGCCCCTTTTCTGCCCCTCCCTCTTCCAGTTCTTGCCCCATATCTCCCTAGAGACAGCTAGGTGGGGCAGTGTGAAGAAGAAAAAGGAGGAGGGGACAGGCAGGG